AAAAAAAAAAAAAAAAAAAGAAAGAAACTCCTGACCTTAGGTGATACGCATGCCTCGGCCTCCCAAAGTGCTGGGATTACAGGCCTGAGCCACTGCACTGGGCTGAATTCCAGTCTTGTCAATTGACCCAGCAGTGTCTTCTATAGCATTTCCCCCTCAGTACCATCTGGAATCAGTTGTCATGTCTCTTTAATCTCCACTAATCTGGAACAGCCTTATTTGTCTTTTACGTCATTGACTTTTTTTGAAATTTATAGTTCTTCCCTCCCTGTTTTTCTCTTTCTTTTCCTTTCTTTTTTTTTTTTTTGTTTTAAATTAATAGACTATTTTTTAGAGCAGTTTTAGGTGCACAGCAAAATTGAGCAGAAAGTACAGGAGTCCCCATATACCTCCTTCTCCCCTCTCACAGAGCTTCTCTCACCATCAGTATCCTGCACCAGTGTGATATATTTGTTGTAATCAGTGAACCAGTATTGACTCATCATATCAGCAAAAGTCCACAGTTTACATTAGGGTTCACCCTGTGTTGTACATTCTGTGTGTTTGACTTCTTTTCCCTTTCTATTTCCCCTTCCTTTCTTTTCCCTCTCTCCTCCTTTTTTCACATATTCTTGGTATGTGAATCTTTCCCTTTTGTTAATAGAACATTCTTCATTTTGGATATGTCCGATGTTTTTTCACAGAGCATTGCATCTAGTGTTACACAATGCCTATAAGCCCCTCACTGCTAATGTTAATTTTGAGCATTTGATGAAGATGTTATCCATTTTCTCCACTGTGTAGTTACTGTTATTTCCCTTGCAACTCATCAGTAATCTGTGGGGATACACTTTAAGACCATGCAAATATCTTGCTCCTCATACAACTTTTTCTCTAAATTTAATATTCATTGTTAATTTTTATCTGAAGCAATCTTTACTATAATGTTGCAGAATGATGATTTTATACTCTAGCATTCTGTCTACATTTACTACTCAACCCTTGGCATTCTACTTTAAGAAAGAGCCTTCCCTCCCTTTCCCCATTTATTTATCTATTTAGTATCAGTATGGACTCATGGATTGCTATATTTTTAATTGTGCATAATGCATTACTTAATTATTTTGGTGCTCAGATAACTCCAGATTTGGCCAGGGAGCCTCTGAAGAGTTATTGAAATTTAGTGACCAGCTGGGCACAGTGGCTCATGCCTGTAATCCCAACACTTTGGGAGGCCAAGGTGGGCAAATCACGTGAGGTCCGGAGTTTGAGACCAACCTCTCAAACCACATCTCTACGAAACCACATCTCTACTAAAAATACAAAAATTAGCCAGGCGTGGTGGCGGGTGCCTGTAATCGTAGCTACTCGGGAGGCTGAGGCTGGAGAATCGCTTGAACCTGGGAGGCAGAAGTTGCAGTGAGCTGAGACCATACCACTGAGCTCCAGCCTGGGCAACAAAGCAAAGTGAGACTGTCTCAAAAAACAAATAAATAAATAAATTAATTAAATAAATAATTAGTGACAGAAAGTAGATGCCATTTTGTTTGAACTTGGCCCTTTAGGTAGGATCAGGATGCTAGTTTTAGAATATGTTTTAGAATAAACTGAAAAAAGACCTATTTGTTGATTTTCTCTTACAGTCTGGAGAAAAAAAGAAGGATGATGAAACAGTTGATAGCTTAGGTACGAATGTTTTTCTTTTACCTTTTGACCTAAAAAGCAGGGTTGCAAACTTAAATGCCTCCAAGAGCCAGGCAGGTAATATGAATGGTCTGAGGATAACATTACAAATTGGAACGCACCTGGTTTATCTCAGCTGCCTTGTACCTAGCTACAGCTGAGGGCTGTCTTGGGGGAATCTGGGCTTGGGCTTGGTATTGTGAGGGCTTTCTTCCCTTGGCCCTTCTCTGTTCTCTGCATCCTGAAGCTAGAAATTTAGTGTTTTAGTTGAGGTTTTTCATTTTTAAACATTCATAACGAATTGAAATTAAAGAAAAAAAACTGTGTGGGTCTAACAGAGTATGACTGTAAACCCATTAGTAGTTGCAATTTCTGGAGTACAGTAAATGGGTT